GCCCCTCCCCCATTCTGACCTTGGCTGCCCCCAGGTACAGGTGCATCTTGCGGTTGGATGTTCGGAGCGCCGTGAGGTCAAAGGTCCTCATGCGGTTGAGCTCGAGCTGGAAGGCGAGCGCCGGTTCCAGGTGCCGATAGATTCGGTCTTCTTCAAACTGGGAAATACATCAATACATCAATTAATCAATCAACCAACTCGATCATCAATAATCTTTAATTCGACTGTTGTATGTTCTAGGAATGTCTACTGAAATGTCAATAATCAGAAGAAGAATCAATAATCAGAAGAAGAATAAGAACCCACCAAGTCTCGCGCTCGGAAGGTGAAGAACTTTGGGAAGTCTCTCTCCTGAAGGACGACGAAAGTCACACGCCGAATCCCACGGTCAAACAGCACCGAACGCTAAACAACAACAAAAAACAACAACATTCATCAGCACTGAGCGCTGAACAACAACAACAACAACAAGTAAAATCTGAGATTTTATACCTCCGGGCTTTTTATTGTATATTTTTCCATGTTGTTTGTTCTGTATAGTTGATGGTGTTGAATTTTATGTGTTAGATTTAGCGTTCCTGGACTGGTCAACATTTTCATCTGCAGCCCATACCATGTACCCACGGTAAAAATGCATGTCGAGAACGTCTAAGACAGTATACCACGGTATTTGTAAGTTAAGAAGTCGTACTATACGCCGAAAACATCCAAGATTGCGCAAGAGGGCGTTGACCCCTGACCCATTGGCCCACCCGGAAGTTGCGCTGGCAGCCAGCCCAGCGCCGCGCGCGACGATTTTCAGATTTTTACGCCCCAAAACACATATACAATAAAAACAAAAAAACCTGCACCATCTACAGCCCATTAGAAGAACATACACCGAGTCCAGTCTACCCCAACGCGAGATACAACTGCGATAATATTTCAAAATACATATCGGAAGCAGACACCCCTCTGTTTGACCCCTTTTAAATGGTAAGACCCAAAACTGAAACCTCCCCATTCCTTAACAACATGGTAAATTCCATTTTCAGCATGGCGGGGGTGTCCGGAGCACTTAAAAACCTTTTATTTCGACGCCCATAAACACATATACAATTAAACAAAAACGTTCTGCATCATCTGCAGCCCAACAGCAATACGTATACCGAACAACAGACCAATCCGTCCAGTCGATCGCGAGAAACAGCTGCTGACAGAAATGTTTCGAACAATAGTAAAACCTCCTCGCGGAAGGATATCTCCTTCCCCGGAGGTAATTATTATAATAACATATGAGGCTATTTATGAAAGAACTTACAACCTCACCCTCAACAGGGAAGGGGGCTACGGGTAGATCTCTCAGGCGCAAACAAACAAACAAAATTCTTTGAATTTCAATACACATTGTACACCGTTAACTTCATGAAACGAAGAAAAAGGACTTACGTTAGACTGAGCGAAGTCCTTGAACATGTCAGAAAGGTCGTTGCTGTCCATGTGCTGGGCCAATCGGATCGCGACGTTCACAATGTGGATCGGCTCATCTGTGCCTGCCGTCTGGGGGGTATAAAAATTAACCAATTAACACATCTTACATCATATCTTATAACAATGTTGCAGGATCAAGTAATAATGAGTTTGGTCACCATTGAGGTTATTTTTTCCACACAGCAAATTTGTGTCATGGGAGAAACGTTATCGTTAACTGTGGCCAATTGCCCTGGCCAATTCTTCACCTTAATTTTGCCAAGTTCTCCTATCCTATCCATAACCCTTATATTAGGAAAGTAGCTACTTACTAGCTGTGCTGATTTTTATGCACAAAAATCATGTTTTAACACTTCCAATTTTGAATCAAACTATTCTCATCCTTTCATTCAGATATTTAGTTTAGGGAAGATGTCATCCATGAAAATCAGCTCTTCAGCAGAAATACAAGCAGCAAATTAAGGACATGATTGTTGTACAAGATGGCACTGTAGGATCATGTTACAATGGCTGTGACCTTGACCCTTGAGTAAGGTAACTAGATTTGTAAGAACACTGCTGATTGGTTGGGAGGCAGATCATGACCTTCACCTTAAGTTCTTGCTGATTGGTCTACTAAAAGGCTTCATTTGTTAGACCCTTTCTTATTGGTCTACAAGCCAAAAGATCATGAACCTTGACCCAAAATAAGTCATTCTGAAAAAAGAGTTTGTAAAAACTGTCCTGATTGGTTAATAGGAAGAGAGTGGATTTGTGACACCCTTGATGATTGGTTAATTGAGCTTTTGGGAAATTTTAAGGAACTTTTTGTGTTTTTTTTACCCCAAGAGAAGCCAGTGAAGGTGACCTTGATGCCTTAGGACGTCCCTGCTGGAAAACAAAATGGCAGACTGTCTTATTTTTTCTCCAGTTTGTCTGTGGAGAGTCATGTGTTGTGAAGGCATGGGATTGGTATCAACGTGTGTTTGTAGATTTGCATGCTTGCTTAGAGAGTTACACCTGTCCAACCTTAACTCTTACACCTGTTCAACCTTAACTCACCTGTGTGCCAATATCACCTGCCTACCTGGCCTGTACACCTGTTTAGCTTACCTCTATAACAAAGTCATGATGTATACCAAGTATGTGATTTATTCATACAATTACTGTTCTATAACATGTTAAACCTCAACTGTCAGCACTGCCATACATTTTAGAGGGTCCCTTTTCCAAGACTCGGGCATTCCTAATAGCTCACCTGTTCACCTTTCTTACCCACCTGAACACACCTGTGTATCACCTGCCTAACACCTGTGTAACACACCTGTTCTCACCTGTTCGTTAAGGCTGGACAGACTGTCGCTGCTGCCGTAGGTGCCGGACGTTCCCTTTGTGTCCAGGAACCCTGCGCTGTTCCTGCCTAACACACCTGCCTAACACACCTGCCTAATGCACCTGCCTAACACACCTGTGTAACACCTGTGCTCACCTGTTCATTAAGGCTGGACAGACTGTCGCTGCTGCCGTAGATGCCGGACATTCCCTTGTCCAGGAACCCTGCGTTCCTGCCTAACACACCTGCCTAACACACCTGTATAACACCTAAGTAACACCTGTGTACCACCTGTGCTCACCTGTTCGTTAAGGCTGCTGAGAGAGTCGCTGCTGCCGTAGATGCCGGAGGTTCCCTTTGTGTCCAGGAACCCTGCGCTGTTCCGGTCGAAGCTGGGGGAGGGAGGGGGGCTTGCACGGAACATCGACATCACTTCCTGGAACAGGCTGGAAACAACAGGTTACCATGGTTACATGCAGGTCACCATGGTTACATACAAGTCACCATGGTTACACACCAGGTTATGACTGGATATGGTGGAAATGTCGTAACCATGGTTACTGTTGACCATGGTAACCAATGTGTGACCAGGTAATGATGACGTGCTTACCAGTTACCATGGATACACACAGGTTATCACTGGATACCGAGGAAATATAAAGTGGTACCCTATAGTTACCGGTGACCATGGTAACTAAGGTGTGACCACGGTAACCATGAAGTGCTTAAGTTACCATGATGGTAACTATCTGGTAACCATGGTTACCATGTTAATGTAGGTTTCCATGGAAACCCCAGTCCTGTGGTTGTTGCACATGCTGCATTAACCCTTCTCCAGCTTCACCTGCCAGTATAACAGTACAGCTGTGAAACCTTTTCCCTGCCAAATTAACCCTCCAACAGCCGAGGCCAGCATATATAGATATAGGAAGGACACCTTGCAGAGTGCTTTTGTGTGGGACTGTGCGTGGGGTAAAGCATATTGGTGGGGAGGGGGGCATGTGAACCTTGCCCAGAGACACCCAAACTCAGGGTACTTTCTGTACACATACGGCGAGTTCGTTTGGACAGGTGCCGCCAAATCCAGGAACTCAGCAAAATCTCTGGGAAATAAACACAACATCAAACAAAACAACAACAACTCTGCAAACACACACAAACAAAATAACAAGATAGCAAAACCCTTTAGCCGTAAGTCGTCCCTGCTAATTATAACACCTTCTCTGCTGCTGACTTGGCTCTGACAGATTTAATTGGTGAACACTGAAAAGCTGTTGAAGTGACAAAGGCATGGCCTTACAGACATCTAAGGTCCTATCATACGTCAAAGACTTGGCTTGTTGAGTCTAAGAAAGTTGAGACTTACTTGGTGAAAGCTGAGAAACTGTCGAAAGCGACCATGGCATGGCACTGGTTAAAGACATCTAAGGTCCTATTATACATCTAAAACTGAGTCTAAGAAAGTTGAGACTTACTTGGTGAAAGCTGAGAAACTGTCGAAAGCAACCATGGCATGGCACTGGTTAAAGACATCTAAGGTCCTATTATACATCTAAAACTGAGTCTAAGAAAGTTGAGACTTACTTGGTGAAAGCTGAGAAACTGTCAAAGGCGACCATGGCACCCATCCGCTGGCACGGAGGAAGGTCAAGGTCATTCATGTTCTCCCCCAAACTCGCGACTCGGGGCAGCGTGCCGTCATCAAGGGCCTTCCGGGGGGCTCTGTGGGGGGTACAGGGGTGGGAAACACTGTTAAATGCAGCCATTTCAAATGCCTCTTAAACCCTGCAATATCCTTGTAATCCCTATGTACAATTGTACAAAACATTGTGCATACATCATGCAGCTATATGTGTTAGAACAGTGCTGTTTAAAAGCTTTTTGTTAATTAAACTACAAACACATGCGAGCAGTTTGCAACTGACTTATGTGGATCCTTTTATTGTGAATAGCAGAAAACTTGTATCAATTGAATATAAAATTGTCTTGATGAATAAGAAGAATTCTGATGGTGACATTTTTCCATTATTAAAAAAGAATAGTTTTTGCTGAAAAAAATCCGTCACTGAAAAACAATCCCTGTGAAAGGTTAGGGGTTAAAGGGGAGAGGTGAAATGTCAGAACGCTGATGATAATGATGGTTTCACATGTGGGCATGATGGAGCTGTGAAAGAAGTAATAAAAGTAAATGGGATCATACTGATGAAAAAAAATGTCACTGTGACTGTGACAGTAGAAGTTAATGTGCAACATCATTCCTGAACAAAAAAATAAGTCCCATAAAAATAAATTCAACATCTTCCCATGCTTTTTTTCTCTGTCAACTATATAAAAACAACAGAATTTACCACTGGACACTTCAGACAAAGCACCAGACAATATGAAGGCACGTGTAGCTAAGTGTGACATTATTAGCAATGTAGCTATATTGTAAGTGTGACATTATTAGCAAATGTGTAGCAGAGCTAACGTATGAACTTCAGCCATGCAGCAGGTTATATGACTGTGGAGACCACGAGGTATTTGCTAGATCCTGCAGAGCTAAACAATGACAGTGACTATATATCCAGAACCATGCTTTTTCTGAATACAATACCCACCACATCTTGCAGTGCAGTAGTGCTATCTAACCATCAGTTGTGTCCCGATGAGGCAGGGAATAAAGGAAGCGGAGCACCTAAGGACATGACAGGCACAGGCACAGCTACAGCTACATGTACACAGGCACGGTTCTGGATACAATACCCACAACATCTTGCAGTAATCTAACCATCAGTTTGTGAACCTAATGAGGCAGGGAATAAAGGAAGCGGAGCACCTAAGGTACATGACAGGCACAGCTACATGACATGTACAATGTACACAGGCACGGTTCTGGGTACATTTGTTTTGTGATGCAGCAGTAGTAAGGAGTCAGCTGCAGTGTGATAATAAGGAGTCAGAGCACCAAAGGCTCATGTCTGGCAGTGTGATGATTGTAAAGGAAGGAAGTAATTAAAGAAGAGCACCTATAGCTAAGGCTCATGTCAATTGCAGAGTGATGATTGTAAAGGAAGGAAGTAATTAAATAAGAGCACCAAAGGCTCATGTCGGTTTGTGTGATAATTGTAGAGAGAAGGAAGGAAGGGGAGCACCTAATGCTCATGTCAGGCATACATTTGTAGCTAGGATTGTTTTGTGATGCAGCAGAAATAAGGAGTCAGTGTGATGATAAGAAGTAAGCAGTTTGTGTGATAAGAGTTAAGTAAGAGGAGCACCTAATGCTCATGTCAGGCACAGCTAGGATTGTTTTGTGATGCAGCAGAAGTAAGGAGCCAGTGTGATAATAAGGAGTAATTAAAGAAGAGCACCTAATGCTCATGTCGGGCACGTCTGCATCCTCGCTGAGTGAGCTGACCTTCAGCAGGGGGTACTTTTTACGCGCCGGATGTCTGCAGGAACATCGCCAGGGAACAGGAGGAAGTGTAACAGCAGAGACAACTTTCAAGTGATTTATAGAGTTCTATAGAGTCTATAGAGCTCCGTAAGGTTTACAGATCTTTACTGAATTCCATGCACAGAGCTCCATAGAACTCCTGGAATCCAAAGAGTTCCAGAATTCCAAACAGATATTACACAACGTACAGTTCCAGAGTTTGACAGAATTCTATAGAGCTCCATAATTACATTTTGTATACAGTTCTATTCTATATAATTATAGTAGAGAGTTTCCAGAAGTTCTATAAAATAGTTCACAGAGGAGTTGGAATGGAAGAGAGTTGTACGGTAGAAATTCCCTCACAGTTGTGATGTTTGCTACAGACACAGAGTGTTACACACAGATGTACAGACTGTAAGGTTGTAAGTTACACACAGATGTACATAATGTACATGTTGTAAGTTACACACAGATGTACATAATGTACAATGTTGTAAGTTACACACAGATGTATAGGCTGTAAGGTTCATACAGGGGAAACAACAGAACAACACAGTGCTGATATGCCTGCCAGACTAAACAAGAGCTGAACTGTACAAAGAAATACACTTAAGCAAGGCAGAAACAATTATTCGAAACCAGTCTGGCTACATGTACCATCTCAACTAAGGTATATCAACTTTGAAGAATACAACATAACGATGAAAGATGTGCAAAAAGGCTAACTAAAACGACACAAAGAAAGCGAGAATGAGAACCTAGGTCTGACATGGAGGTCAAGGTCAGTGTTGTCGGGCGGGGCATCGTCGGGCGGGGCATCGCCATGGAGATCACCATGGAGATGGTTCTCCAGAAGCAAAGCACGAGCAAGGCATCTGCCGACACAGGATGGAGGGAAAGAGAGAAGGGAGAAGGAAGGACAAACAGATGAGCGTCGTGTAACATTTCAGAACAGAACCTGGGGCAGAACTGGGGGGGGGGGAACTCACTTGTCTGGGAGGGAAGGATGTTGTTTTGTTTGTTGTTTGTTTGTTTGTTTTGTTTTAAAACTCAGGAAATACTCATGACAAATAATCACACTGTGTTCAGCACCAAGGCCAGGGATGTATAATGTGTGTTTGTTTGAGCCTTTTCATGAAATACTTGAATCAGCCTTCTCACCACTTTTCATGGAAATCATGGTCAGACAAAATATGACAAGATTACATGATTAAATTCCTGAGCAAATCCATATAAACATTTTGCTGTTTAACTTTTAGCATTTAGAGGAGCCTTATCATATAAAATGCCATCATTGTGGTCAAAACCACCTTTTTCTTCATAGAATTCCATGAAATTATGCAATGCCATGTATTGCAAATTTGAACTGGTGACAGAGTTAGGCAGCAGGGAGGTTAACCTTTAGCCTGCTGAGAAAGCCTTATCCTCTGGTAGGAGACTCCAAGACAAGCAGGACCCCCCCCCCCCTAGCTGCGCGGCCCAGGTTACAGAGTTACTGTAGGAAGTGCAGAGCTGAGTACTTACCGCACAGGGAAGCCGTACCTGGGTTAACAGGGCAACAAATGCACAACGTTAACCCTCAACTCTACCTGTGTAACTGTAACAGTAGTCCTAACACATTAGTTAACCTGAGTTAAACAATGCAACACATGCACAACATTAACCCTCAAACTCTTACAGTAATCCTAACACATTAGTTAACCCAAGTTAACAGGGCAACAAATAACCCTCAAACTCTTACAGTAATCCTATACAACATTTGTATTATAAAATACTATTAGTCAACATCTTTAGCATCTACTACGAATCCTTACATGAGCAGGTCTCAAAAGTCATTTGGGCGATAGGTGCACTCAATTTTCCTACAAATATACACTCAGTCATGCAACAGAAAAATTTGGGGGCATGCAAGAAATGTTGTACTATATATAAAGTAGCACACTTCTGAATCAGTAAAATGGGAAGAGAGAAGAAAAAGTACATGTAGTTACAAGCAGAAGCTAGAACTTAAAGTCAGTGCAAGGCCAAATATCTACTAGCAGGTGCTCCCAGAGGGAAAAATTACTAGTAGGTGCACAGCTCCAATATTGCATTAGGTGCACAAAAGTGCATAATTACATTGTATGTAGCAGTATTTCCAGCCCTGATTTGTAAAGTTAACATACATTGTAAACATTCAGAATCTGTCACCAACCATACCACTGTGGACATTAGATTTATTGCATTATATCATATCATACCTTTTAGCACAATATCAAGAGCAGTTAGTAAATAAACATTTGACTAAAGCGAGTAATATTCAGACTTCAGGTATCTTATGCACTTGTGAGGATCCTATGGTGAGAAGTACATGTAAGTTATTTTTTATGAGAAATATAATTTTTGAGAAGTCCATACCTGTTGGTGAGCCCATATCTGATAGGCAGGGGCAACACACACACATATCATAACAAATTATCAACACACACATATCATAACATTATCAATATCATTAACTCAGGACCTGCACAACAATCTTCAATCTACTAGCAAAAAAAACAAGCAACACTTGCTGCTCTATGGGCTTAGTAAAAAAATTTTCTAAGTGGAGAAAAGAAAATCAATGTTGGGATAGGAGACAAACGTTGAAGAAAAATTTAACTGTTGGGTTTAAAAAAAATATTTAGTCATCTTCATCAAAGAAGTGACAAACATGCATGCATGCAAACCTGTTGGGATAGAAGGAAAACAACAAAAATTTCAGTTCTTTTTTGGCCTATTTGGCCTTTGACTACAGGCAAACAAACAAACAAAAGTACAGAGTACCTGTTAGGATGAGAGACAAACAAACAAACAAACAAACAACCATGTTTACCTGTTAGGGTGTGAAGCCGGCAGCATGAACTGGAACTCGACTGCGCAGGTTTCGTCTGACAGCTGCTGATGCTGCAGGCTCATGACTTCGTACGCGATGTAGGCCCGACGCACGTACACCTCCAGAGCTGCCATTCGCACCACGCGGTTCGTGTGGTAGAAAAAACTCGGCAGAACGTCAAATATAGACGTCTCTGACATGATCAGTTTCTGTAACAAACACAGGACAAAATAATCAACTTTCAGTCATTTCTTACTCATTTAACTCCTCAGGCCTGTAACACCAATTTAACTTCTTGGAAAATACTTGAATGTTATCTTGTTATTCTTGACCAATTTCTACTTCTTCCAGCCGCCTCCCGAAGCCTGGCAGAGACTAGCCTTGACCAGTACCTGTTGGACATTCAACATGTTCTAGGCAGGGACCAGGTTTGGATCAGGAAGGTTTGAATAAAGACCAGGATATTGATAATACAAGAAGCTTTTTACATCATCAAAATACATGGATGGCAAATTAACCAAATTATAGCCACTTCTAGAATCCACCATGGATGTCAAGACCAAGCAATGGTTTCAACTTTATCTAATATGCTAAAGTGTTTTAAAATCATCTGACAGAACTTGAAATCTCCATCTAGTCATTCAATGTACATATTGTATGACTGTCATTAAACAAAGAATGTAAGCAAGGGGCTATTTCTATCTAAAGAGCTGAACTGCACAGAAATTTTTCAAACAAAAATGGGTTATGCCAAAGAAACACACTCAGTCTGTTAAACACTACAAACCAACTCAGTCTGTTACATGTTAGTGCACTCTAGATCTGGAAACAGACATATGATTCAATATTCAAAATACTTAATACTAAAGTGATAAGTATAACTGTACAATGTAATATTAATTTAATTTATAAAGAAAATGGTGAAACATGCTGTCCTACACGGAAAATAACTGTCACAGCAAGATTCACAACATTTACATTATTATTCAGGGTAAAAAAACTTGATGTTTCGATCAGGAAAGGGACTGATACACTGGCCATTGGAAACCTTTAAGTCTGCTTTCATTGTTTATATTTTAGCTAACATCCCTGGACATGCGTTGTTCTACCTTTTCGTCTACTTTTCTACTTTGGCCACCACACATGTACAGAAAATGATTCGAATCCAAATGTACTAGTGTCAATAAAGCTTCAGATATAACTTTTTATCTCAGAAAACTTTCATCAGTAATCAGCAATGTGTGATTTACAGCCGTTCATTATCTAAAGGTGCATTTTTCTTTGAAAACAAACAGATGTATGACTGCTAAAAAAAATTCAGTAACAGCAGAAAACAAGTTGCACCAAACCATGACAGAACTTATAGAAGACTGAAGCAGACAGAAGTCACAACCAAACAGGAAATCTACCAAACAAACAAACAAACAAACAAACAAACAAACCAGCCAGCCGAGGCCGTTACCTCTTCAACGAGGTTTTCTCTACAGAGTCCGACGAAAAATCGGGCACCAGGCGGGGTCTGCAGTGGACGGACGCAGGGAGGTGAGCAGCATGGAGGGAAGGTGTCAGGTTACAGCATGGTGTCAGGTGGCAGAATTTTTACAGTTCTATGGTTTAAGGTAAATGCTACTTGCTACTCCATGGCTAGGTGTCCAGTTACAGTTTACTAAGGTGTCAGGTTACAGTCAGGTGTCAGGTTACAGTCAGGTGTCAGGTTACAGTCAGGTGTCAGGTTACAGTCAGGTGTCTGGTTACAGTCAGGTGTCAGGTTACAGTCAGGTGTCCGGTTACAGTCAGGTGTCAGGTTACAGTCAGGTGTCTGGTTACAGTCAGGTGTCAGGTTACAGTCAGGTGTCTGGTTACAATGTCTATTGTGTTTTCACTAATTATCTACAATGTACAATTTTTCCTGCAACCACAAACCCACAGTGACTGATTACTAGCCACTAACTCCAGAGAAGGCATCGAAGCCCCCAGAAATGCACACAAAAAATCAGATACTAGTAGATTTCAATAGACTAAAAATGTAAAACCTTAATTTTATACGTTACATATAATTGTGTACTGTGCAATCAGAGCCTTTGGGCATTGACTTATTAAATTTCTTACAAAACAATTCCTTTTTTTCCAGTTACATTTATTATGTGAGACACATGCCAGACCTTTTCTCTAATTAAGCAGCTACTTTTAAACAGTTACTACATAGAGAGTCAGGCTACTGGTTCAGAACTGTTGGGTCATACAGGTGCAATCAAGGAGGCAGTCAACTTGCTTTTGTCAAGAAAGTTAACCAAGGATCTATTCTGGACAGTGTAATTCTACCAGTTCTAAGCCTCCCTACCAGGGCCTGAGCATGTGCAGTGAGAAGCCAGAAGTCAGGGTCGAGGAAGTAGTGGAAGTCGTCTTGGGGTGAAAACTGAGACACGGATTTACAGAACAGAGGGAAATAAAAGAAACAGAATTGACTGTGCTATAAAATAGAAGGTGAAAAATGGTAAATATACTAGTTAGCGATAGGAGAGTTTTTCAAACAAAAAGCAACATGCTGTTTTTAGTTGCTTCTATGATTGTTCCAACTATTTCTGCTTGATTAATTAGTACCAGTCCTGTTACAGTTGCTATTAACTGACAATAGTTAGTAAATTGACTTGTCTCGCTAGCTGTCTGACTTGTTTTCACATTGTCTCACTTGCTGATTTTGAACTTGTTCTGACCTGTAGGTTTTAAAGTAGGCTCATCTGTAAGTTACAGATGATATTACCAGTATGTTGGGTCTGTAAGTTGTGATATAAAATAAAAGTGGTCTCACCAGTAACTTTGAAAATGGTCTCCCCTGTAAGTTTTGCTAAGGTCTCCCCTGTAAGTTTTGCTAAGGTCTCCCCTGTAAGTTTTGCTAAGGTCTCCCCTGTAAGTTTTGCTAAGGTCTCCCCTGTAAGTTTTGCTAAGGTCTCCCCTGTAAGTTTTGCTAAGGTCTCCCCTGTAAGTTTTGCTAAGGTCTCCCCTGTAAGTTTTGCTAAGGTCTCACCTGTAAGTTTTTAGGTCTCACCTGTAAGTTCTCAGGGCAGAACTGGTGGCCGTACATGTCGATGGCTGACAGGAAAATGGACTCCACCTGGTTGTGCCGAAGCTCGTAGGACGGCTGGTGCGCTGCGATCAACACCTAAACAAACAAACAAACAAATTACACCTTGATGGCAAGACTAGCACAGATCACCTGATACCTTGTCTGAGTCAGCTTTCTCCTGCATAAGTAGGAAACAAACTTTGGGTGCTTGATCTATATTTTAACTGTTTTATTAAACAAATTTAAAGTCAAACACACTTTCCTACCTGTCTGGCTCGCAGGGCGACCTTGGAGTTTTCCGTCTTGTTCAAGGTCGTGAGTTCGCTGAGGATGCTGGTGAGGTCATCGGTCAAACCCGGCTCTCGCTCGCACAGGTGGTCAATCAGCATGATCACCAACTGGTTCATCTTACCAACCTGCAGGGGGCAAACAGCAAGGTAAACATTCATGGATCCGGTCTGGTACAGTGTTAGGATCATGCCTGGCTCCCGCTCGCACAGGTGGTCAATCAGCATAATCACCAGCTGGTTCATCTTACCAACCTGCAGTTACACATAAACAGCAAGGTAAACATTCATGGATCCGGCCTGGTACAGTGTTAGGGTCAGACCCGGCTCTCGCTCCCACAAGTGGTCAATCAGCATGATCACCAGCTGGTTCATCTTACCAACCTGGTGTTGGAAAACATGACAGTCATGTTATCCAGAACTGTGCCTGTCTAGTAAATATGCCTGCAATCAATCAAGATGTACAGAGGATTGTCTTACCTGAGAGTGAGTCAAGATACTGGCCAGAACCTCCTCCATGTTATCTTTGTTCTTCTCCCTCAGTAGAGCCACACACTTGTCATAGGAGCCTGCACAGAGTTATAAAACTGTTACTGTTTCCCTGCTACCTAACTATAGGAGAGCCACACACTTGTCATAGGAGCCTGCACAGAATGGTAAAACTGTTAGTAAACTGTTTCCCTGCTACCTAACTCCACTAGAGTCACACACAGAGTCATACAAACCTGAGTACACAGAATGCTGTTAGTACAGCAGCTATAACCGTTACAGTCATGTTTTCATTGACCCTTTCCCTACTGCCTAACTCCAAAGCCAGTACAGATTTGCTTTCAAAAGTCTGTGTTATAGTTTAAGGGTCTAAAAAAACAAGACTCCTTACTATGCTGGAGCAAGGATTTATATTGTACAGCAGTCTTACTGAGCCTAAGGAACCAAACTTCTTACCATGCTGGAACTGAGACAGACTCTAAGGAACTCCTTACCGTGCTGGAACTGTGCCTCGGTCCTGAGGTACATCCTGAGTATATCCTGTACAACAGTTTTCGTGTGCCCGCGGATCCCGCTGCGGTATCGCTGCACGAGCTGAACGATGGTCTGCGTGTTCAGGAAGAAGTTGTCTCTCTCCGCCCGCTTCTGAAGGGTGGCTGCATGGCTGTCAATCACTGTCGCTATCTGGGGGGGGGGGGCAGAAAAAAACGCCTGTTAGAAACATAACAAATGTTGGGACACTGCATGGCTGGCTGGTGAAGTTGTTGAGACTCTAACACAGGGGTATTGCCAACCTACCAGGGGCTGTAGATGAGCAGAATCTGCTTCCATGTCCTTTTAGCTTCCAGCTTAACAACCTACATGTACATGTATACAGGGATCCTGGTACCTTCAGTTTCCTTTACCTGAGACTTTCACTTTTCATCACTTTACCTGAGACTTTCACTTTTCATCACTTTACCTGAGACTTTCACTTTTCATCACTTTACCTGAGACTTTCACTTTAATTCTCACCTGCTGACTGGGGAACTGGCAGAGTACGGAGGTGATGTTGGATGCGTAGGTGGCCAGGTGTTTCCTTATTAAACGCTCCACCTGTGCAGGGATGCGGCCGGAGGTGGTGGATATAACCTCCTGCAGTTCCAGTAGTGGCAGCGTGGGGTCTCTCAGGCAACGCATCAGGGTTTCCACTGCCTCATGGGTCTGCAGGGGGAAAATAGAGTAACTTCTGACACATGTACCAAGGAATATAGGAAATATCTGAAGCAAGAAAGCTGAAAAACAGGGTCTCCACTGCCTCATGGGTCTGCAGGGGCAAAACATAACCAAGTTGTAGTTTTATTATTATTGTAATGTTATCAATAAGCAGCCTTAATGTCTAAGAGGGGCAAAACCTTATTACACAGTTAAACATATCTCCCATATATGTAATGTAGTGGGGTCTCTCAGGCAACGCAGGGAGGGAAATACAAGCAAGTTGTAGTAACTTTGTAAAAACTTGGAAATCTGTAAGACAATCTATCTAACATTAAAGGTTGTAGAGCACAGTCGTACCTTCTGTCTGAAGTAGGGATAAGAAAGCCAGTAAGACAATCTATCTCCCATATATGAAATGTGTTGTTTGACTGTGTATAGCAGAATGACTGTTACAGTACCTTCTGTCTGAAGTAAGGGTTTGGGAGGCAGTAGCCTCGCATTACATTCTCCAGCTTCTGCCGAGCATCCTGGAAAATCTGTAAAACAACAAACAGCGCAATCAGCCAACAGCAGTGAAATAAAAAATATGAAGCAAAATACAGATCTTCAAATAGTTTTCCTGCCTCCTTTTTTCCTGAATTGACCGTGTGGTATGGACCAAGAGAAAGAAACTCAACCAAATCAATCAAACCTGTGCCTGCTGAACTTTACAGGGGTGAAGGTCAGGTCAAGGCCAGGTCAGAGTTCATACAAGGTTGATTTTCTCGCCCTTCAGGTCGACCGAGTGGTGAGTAGGGAAGCCGGTCGTGTAGACCTGGGCCTGCTGGGGTCATCTAAGGCCAGGTCAGAGTTCATACAAGGTCAGACGGTAAGGGTACTCACGAGGTTGATTTTCTCTCCCTTCAGGTCGACCGAGTGGTGAGTGGGGAAGCCTGTGGTGTAGACCTGGGCCTGCTGAACCCTGCTGGGGTCGTCTAAGGCCAGGTTAGCTACAACGCTGCCTGGACTCAGGATGGCTCCGGCTCGCTTTACAAAATGGACGCTTTGGAACAAAATGGGCATTATTTAACACAGAAAAGAGGACTAGTATCAGAGATGATGCCATGACATACAAAACAAAGCTACATTGTAAATATCCCTCTGAGTCTCTGCGACTGAGATCGAGTTTCCTCCACAATCTAGGTAGAAAAAGGCAAGAAATCATCTTTCCAATTGAAAGCAGAAACAGCAGAACACATAAAAGTTTTAAAACTACCCACCATCCGCTCTCTGTGACAGTGAGGGCCATGACCATCTTCATGACCTCTATCTCTGCGTACGCCTGGCCGCTGAACACATGACCTCCGTCCTCCACACTGTAGTGCAGCAGCTTTCCCGCTGAAGGGGACCTGAAGGGCACAACGACCTTCAGGAGTTAGTTTTTAGGTTTTGTCTTCACTTATTTGCATATCAATCAATAGTTTGTGCTTATAAACCTGCATTTCCCCTCTGGTCTCTCAGTCACTGATGAAAGGTAGTGGATACTAGCTGAAACGTCTGACCGTTTCCAAAATCATATCTAGTTGCTTGAGTAACTGCTTTTTGGAAAACACAGATCACCTGAGAACAGACGGGTCGTTCTCCTTCTCGAACACGATGGTCTTGTTGCCAATGACGACGCGATAACGATCCACCTCCTCCTTCATGTAGGTCGTGTAGCTGTTGCCGTCGAATGACAGGAGGAGACCACCATCACTCAACCTGGGGGGGGGGGGGCATAAAAATAGGTTAACTTTGGTAGGAGACCTCCATCACTCAACCTGGGGGGGCATTAAAAACATTGGTGGGAGACCTCCATCACTCAACCCGGGGGGGGGGCATTAAAAACATTGGTGGGAGACCTCCATCACTCAACCTGGGGGACATATTAGTAGAATACGCCATTAAAGTTTAAACATTGGTAGGAGACCATGTAAATCTTGAATGCAAAGCAAGAACCTTCCTTAGATCTCAGAGACTTAAGGGATCTGATTCAACAAAACAAACAAACAAACAAACAAACGCCTCACCTGTGGACGTCCACTTCAATGGTGGATTTGTTCATCACTAGGAAGTAGGAGCTCGGGGACTGCCGCGTCACCTGGAGGGGGAGGAGGAGGAAAATGTACTAAGGAATCCCAAATCTATTCAATGAACAGTTCGTGCTTAATATAAACCTGCATTTCTCCTCTGGTCTCTTAGTGTCACTGACAAAAGGTAGTGGATGCTACCTGAAATGTCTGACCATTTCCAAAATCATAGTATTACATAGGCAGTTGCTTGAGTAACTGTTTTTGACTGGATGTCTAACCTTCATTGATGAATCCCAAATCTAATCTGCTGGATCTCAAATTTGGACAAATACAGGAAATCAACAAACTGCTGTAATGGCTGTTGGGAAGATTGAACAGAATTTTCTACTCACCTCCAGGCAGTACTTGAAGCCCTCGAAGATGAGTTCGACCTCGACGGTGTTGGTGAGCGTTGTCGGGGGCAACACCTGTCCGCGCTCCAGCGACATCCGATAGTGATCCACGGCGCTCTTTATCTGGTGGTCGGCTACATGCATCGCTCCGCAGATCACACCTAACATGGTGTCAGGGCGCTCTGCCTGTGGGATCAAGTTACAGCTGTTAGGGTATCAGGTTACACATGGCTCCACAGATCACACCTAACATGGTGTCAGGTCTCTCTGCCTGTATGGGTCATATTACAGATATCAGGTTACACATGGCTCCACAGATCACACCCAACATGGTGTCAGGGCGCTCTGCCTGTATGGATCAAGTTACAGCTGCTAGGATATCAGATTACACATGCGATAGTGATCCACTGCACTCTGTATCTGATACCAGTAGTTAGTTACCAGTAACATAAAATCTGATTTATCCAAGGCAATAGTTACATGTATAAGCACACTGAAACAAAGTTGCTCATCAGGAATCTACCTGTACATTGTTCCTACCTGTACTTTCTCAGCGATGAGCCTGTCCAGCCAGCCAGTGCTGATGGCGTTGTTCTGGAAGGTGTCGGTCTCTAGGAGCTTGATGAGGTACTCCACAGTTGTGCGGAAATCTCCCCGAATGGACAGTTCCTTCAGCGCAATCACCATGTTCCTGTAAACACACAACATGTTCCTATAAACACACAACATGTTCCTGTAAACACACAACATGTTCCTATAAACACACAACATGACTGTTAGAAACTGTCAGTCACAGTCAGTACAGTCACACACACTGTAATCAGAAGCTTGATGAGGGAAATGTACTCCACAGTTGTGCAGAAATCTCCCCGGATAGACAGTTCCTTCAGCGCAATCACCATGTTCCTGTATGGGGAAAACACAGACATATACCTGCTATATACCAGTTTTACGGGCTATACAGGACTGGTACACTCTCATATGGAAGGCCTGTCAGAGTGACAATCCTTCAGTGTTATCATCGTCCATGTTGCTGAAACACAACATGACTGGTTGGAGAATCACTCACTCAAATAGTTATCACAAGGTTGATGAGGACTGGTACTCCTTTTTTCTTGACATATGAAAGCCTTCCCAGTGTGACAAATCCTGTGTTATCAAAATGTTCCTGGGGTCCAGGAAAACACTTGTCAAACATTATACAAAGCAGTGTCCAAATTTTAATCAAAAGCTAGATGACGTACTACATTTATCTTTTTGTGTCTTAGCAATAATTACTGGCCTTTGGATCAGGAAGGAATTTGCCGGCCAAAAAATTCATATCATCATTTATGATTGGACTCATGATATTACATCTAGAAAGTAACAAATATTGAAACTTACGAGACAGCATCATCCCTGTCCTCTCCCCAGGCGAAGCAGTGTCCAAACTGTGAGTCCGCGAACTCGTGTAACCCTCCGCTGGCCGACACGCTGAAGTAACCCCACACGTTCTTACTGCTGCGGAAATTCAGCTCCTGCACTGTCCCAGAGCTGGGCTTCAAACCCTGGGGGGGGAGGGGGGCAAGGTTAGTCATGTACAACCTAACCCTCTAACCCTAACACCCCAACCCTAACCCTAACCACACACGTTCTTACTGCTGCGGAAATTCAGCTCCTGCACTGTCCAAGAGCTGGGCTTGAAACCCTGGGGGCGGGAGGAGTTAGAGTACAGTACTAGCTAGTGCCTTATCCTAATCCTAATGGCTGCCAAGAAGCCTCAGCATCAGTGTGCAAGCATGTTCAAACCCCCCTTAATGAGAACACCAGAATCTGATGTTAAACTGGAGAGTGAGTGAACCTTACCGAGAACAGCTGTTACAGTTACAGAAATCTGATGTTAAACTAGCGAAAAGTTACCTCATCTGGGTTTTCGCTGGTGACCCTGGCTGCAATCACATGACCTCTCGGCACTGGCTTGTGCACTGGGCTGTGGGAGGTAAACAAAAACAACTGTTTGTAAACAAAAACAACTGTAAACAAAATTGTTTACATTAGCCCATGATACAAAAAAGAAGGCTTTCCCCACCTGTCGAAGTCAATGGTAGAGTCCCCCCAGGGGTCCTCTCCATACAGCAGCCTGATGTCCTTTATCCTGTACAGGGGCACGCCCATTGCAACCTGGGGGGGAGAAGGGTTACTGTGAATATGTTTGCCAGAATTTCACAAAAAAAGGGGAAAAGAGATGATAATTGGGAAAATAACCCAGTAACAGGTTATTATCACAAACCTGTAGCTGAGCAGCTGGAAGGTTGACGTCTGCCACCATCTCTGTGCACGGATGCTCAACCTGCAAATTTGGTCAAAAAAATTATTCAATGTTTTAGAATGATCTAAACTGTTTGCTTTCAGTGTCATATGTGATTGACAATGTGTAAACCAGAATGTGTGCCAACAGAAAATCTTAATATGTCTTATAGTATGTAAATTTGTATGTATGTCTTATGTAAGTTTATATTTAAGTACCTTGCATGAGGATCTGAATCAGTTTGGTCATTACACCTATTATTACTCTTCTTGGGCCCTAGTCCCCATGTTGAGCAAAGGCCACCATGCAATGATTTAGTCCACTAATGCAGTTAACTAATGCTTGAGGTGTGGTTCTCCCTAAAAATATAGCTGTTCAAGTTACAATTTACAGGATGCAATAAGACTGGGCTTCAAACCCACAACCTCCTTTACCTGCAGTCTTGGGTTGAGCTCGAGGAAGTAGAAAGATCCGTCATCGCTGTAGAGGTACTCCACGGTACCTGTGCTGACATAGCCCACCATCTTAGCAAGGACTACTGCAGCCTGGAACAACAGGAGCCACAGTTGTGAGCACAGCTAACCCTAACCCTAACCCTTACTGTAGAGGTAACCCTAACCCTAACCTTCAATCTACAAAATAATGCATTACAAAAAAGCTTGTAACATGGTCCATAATCTTGTTAAGGACTTATTGTTCCCCAATTCTTACTTAGGCTAGAACTAGTCAGTACTGACACGAGGACAGTGGTACACTTAGAAACATTTAGGTAAAAACCTTCTCCATCCGGTCCCAGATGTCGGGAGGGGCAACAGTAGCCATGGCAACAGTAGCCATGGCAACAGTAGCCATGGCAACAGTAGCCATGGCACCAGAGCTTACCTTCTCCATGCGGTCCCAGATGCCAGGAGGGGCAACAGTAGCCATGGCAACAGTAGCCATGGCAACAGAGCCATGGC